CTGTTTATCTCACCTATTGTTATTCTGCACCCATCAAACGTACTGTTACACAGGCAGCAAGCAGTTAGTGAATCTGTTACCATGAATACAAACTTTTCACTGGTTGTAATAAAAAGCAATTATATTCGACCTAATGTTTGTAACATGGAGTCTAGAGAGTTTCTCAGCTACTTGAGGACAATCACAAGCAGCCATATCTTTATGTTGAAAATCAAAGGACTTCTTTATTGTCGTTATTTTTTTTTAACATCAGAGATCGCTGCTTGTTTTCAGCGAGTGGAAACTCCCCCTGCTGGTCATTAGAGGGAGTGACAGTTGAGGGCTTCACATTTTCAAGTCCACTTCCAGGTCCGCCTCCTTAATACAGCCCATCAGTTTATTTTTGAGCACGGTGTTGAGAACTTAAATGGAAGTATCACTCTTCCTGAACGCTTTACTCACTACCAGCCCCCCCAGCACGGATGGGTTTTTGTTTCAAACAAAAGCCGGCATACTTTCATGTTCCTGTGTGTGTGTGTGTATGTGTGTGTGTTTGTGTTTAGCTGCCAACTTGTGACTCTACAATCCTGTCGATAACTTTATTATTTGTAAATTTAGCCCCGCAACATAAAAAAGCTCATATCAAAGGCTCACGCTGGGAGGAGGCTCGATGAAGAGAACAAAGTGCCGTCATGCTGAGTGTGTGTGTGCGAAAGAGAGAGAGAGGGAGAGAGAAAGTTACGGGATCTGTCTGAGAGAAAAATAGAGCGAGCGGGAAAAGGTGAAAGAAAAAAGACAAATGAAAGAAGTCAAACAAAATCAGGAAAAAATTAAGTGAGAGAAGTCTGAAGAAAATAAGAACGAGTTTAAAGGGAAGGTCAAGAAGAACAGAAAGAAGAAGAAAAGAAGTAAACCGGACCATTGAAGATCCAAAAAGAGATGAAGAAAAAAAAAGGGCTGAGAGACATCGAGAAAGACTGAGATGCAGGAGGAGAGAGAGAGATTGACAGCTGGGCGTTGTAATGTGAGGGTAAATCCTGTCAGCGTGAAATCAGGATGAAATGTGAGATTATAATTCAACCAGGGATTAACTTTCATCTTTAAAGGAGGAGAGAGGGAGGAGGAGGAGGAGGGGGAGGAGAGAAAAGAATTAGGGAGAAAATGGAGGAAGAAGGGAGAGGGGGGCAACTTTCCTGAAGGATGGAAATTAATGGTGGTAATAGTTTAAAGGGAGGGAAGATGAAGAGGTGGAAGATGGAGAACAGAAGGAGAATATCGAGGAAGAAGGAAAAAGATGAAAGCAGAGCTAGGATGTAGGGAGAGACAGGAAGAAAAAAGGAAGAGTAAGAAAGGGAAGGAAAAGACAGTTAAGAAAGACGATAGCTCAACCCTCAGCCTTACCCCTTCATCTGTGTGTGCACGTCCAAAGGGAGGGCGTCCTGATTCTTGTTGGGATGGAGAGCTATGGCGCATGCAACATAGTCCTTCAAACAGAGATTTGAGACAAGCTCCAAATGAAGTGTTAATAAGAAATCTCCAGAGTGTGTTGTGAATCAGCAAATAAAGAAGGAACTGTGTGTTCTGATCAGGTATTACACTAAAAATTCCCCTCCAGAGACTAGTGTGTCTGCAAAATAAACACTTTCATTCTTGGCTCAGCTGTCTCTTTTCTGGTTTTTGGACGGGTGGTATGTTGAGGTCAGGCTACCCATTAAGGGCATGATAACGGCCTTTCAGCAGATTTCTGGGTTTGGACCCCGTCAGATCCAAAATCAACTGTTTTATCTGGTGTGGCTTGTCATAGTGAACGACAACCAGGGCCACATCTGGAGCAAAACTGAAAATCTGTCAAGTTAAATTCTTCTTTCTGGAGTTTTCTGTGTTCTGTGACATCAGTGATGTTGACCAATGGGAGCTCTGTACTCTGTGTCATGAGTAGGGGTGGACCAATCGTCACCATTGAACAGCTATCAGTGCTGGTATTCAGCTGATTATCTGTATCAACCCTTGGCTTCATTGATGGCCAGTTAAATTCATAAGATAAAGGTGAGCTACTTTGTCTTGAAGTCAACAGCCTTTGAGAGCATCATGAAGCTCACGTTCAGTCAGATGTTGGCACTGGCACATTTCAGCCATTATCAAACAGTGTCATTATAAATTGCAAAGTTTAGAAACCATTGGATGTTTGAATCATAGGGCTGTAATCAACCAAAGATATTCATGGTTTGACTAAAACTCCGAAATTTTCGACCAAAAATCGACTTATCGGGGGAGATTGTTCTGACTCTGACGGCAAACCCTTCTGCGGCTTGGCGGGGTGAAAATATACTGATATCAGCACAAGAAGGCAATGAAACACAGTGAAAGTATAAACACTCAAAACAAAAATAAATATTCAGCAAACGGACGTTGATTAAATTGGACGCTCTTCAATCTTCCTATCTCCAGCCGGTCTTCGGTAGGTTGGGCAAATCCAAAATGGTGAAAACACGGAGGGTTGTTCTGAGACAGGCTGTTATCTGTGAAACGAGGGTGCTCTGAAAACATCCCCATTAACACTTGGTACGTTCCTCCTGATGAAATTAACCATAGAGTATAAATTGACGCAAAAAAAATTAAGTCAACCCATTAGAGTTTTGGTCGACTCAGTATCAACCAATAAGTCGACCAGTTGACTAGGACTTTACAGTCTCAGCAGTCTGGTGCATAGACATTATATACGTAGACGCCTCATTACGTGCTGGAGCGTAATCCAGCGTCACCGCCACATTGGATAAGTCTCCCCACTCCAGGTTCTCAAGAGCCAAATGGGGTCAATGGAGACCGAGCAACTATGCCTGTTTTTTTCGCACTCTATGGTTGAAAAACCTGACGCAGTATTGAAACCAGTGTAATGCACTGGAGGCACACAGGGGACGCATCCAATATGGCGGCCGCACTGATACCAGAGCTCCAATAGGCAGCGTCAGGCTTTGAGGCGTCTACGTGTATAATGTCTATGGTCTGGTGTTTGTCTTACTTAATGGCCCACCCACAAAACGATGTGATTGGCTGAACATCACATGACTGCAAGCAACTACTGTAAGTGTAACTGGTTACTCCGGTAGATGATTTTGAATGTTTTAGCTTTAACTTCACATTTGGTAAAGTCACTTATTAAAAATATGTGATGAAGTTTGTTATATTTAAAACTGTACACGTCATATTGGCTTCACGTGTTTTTTATCAGTCTCACAAATAACCAGGATGTGTATCACCGCTAATAAAACGATACTAGTCTACCCCTGATCACAAACATAAACAAAAATATGGCAAAGCAATGAAAGAGTGAAGTTTGAGCTGCGAGATGTAACGAGAGAGAGGAAAAGTTTATTGAATTCTGACGATAACTAGACTGTCTGCTAGTCTGAGACAGTCTGAGTCTGACAGCAAAGACCAGCAGATGCACTTCAGTAACTGAGAGAGGAACTGTCGTTAACATGTCTGGATGTCATCCGGCTCAGCACAGTAGTCTGTCAATCAAGTCGTGGCACAAATCGACTTTTACAATGTGTGTTATTTTGTCAATAGAGAGAAAATTGATCGTTTCTGATGCATCTGAAGAAGATCCAAACTCTTGTAGGGTAATGAGCTGCTCAGGTTAAAGTCTTTCCTGGTTGTTCTCACATGCAGACGTGTTTCAACAGAGCGGGTAAAACATTGTTAGCTTTCTGGCAATTAGAGCAAAGGAGCCATTTCGAATGATTGTGTTCCTCCTGTTTTTGCTCTCCTCATGGACCATTCCTCCTGTAGACACCAAAGCCTTCTGATACCTGACTGATCAATACTCTAAGGACCACCGGCTAACTACTAACAGAAATCTGCACCATGAGTACAGGTTCAACACTAGAGTACATTAAAGTAAACATCAAACTTTTACTCCTTCACCGCGGTCCTCCTTACTCACCCTCCCTCCTTTTCTCCCCTCCCATATTTTTCCTACATCTTTTTCTCCATAGTTCCCTATTTCCACTCTTCTTAAATCCCTTTCTCATTCCTTCCTCCTTTTTTCATTTATTTACCCCCTCATCTTTTCCCATCTCCTGCTCTCATCTTACCTCCTTACCTCCCGTGCTTCATCCTTTTCTTGCTTCCCTTCTTGTATCCTAACTTTATCTCTCCTCTCCCCTTTCACTCCTTTTCATTGCTCTCTTCCTCCTCATCTTCTTCTCTTCTACTTGTTTTTTTTTACACTGTTGATCTCCTTTCCACTCACCTCTTCTGTTCTCCTCTTTCCATTTCTTCTCTCCTATTTCACTTCCCTTCCTTCTCTCTCTTTTATTTTGTTTCCCTCCCTTTTCTACTGTCCTTTCTCTCTGTCAACCTTAACCAAAATGTTTTATCGTCTTTCACACTATTTTGACCGTTCCTTCATTTCCGATCTTTACTCATCTCGTCTCCTTTTATTTCTCCTTTTTCCTCCATCTCTCTTCACATCATCCTCTCCCTCTTCCTCCCACCCTTCTTCCCCTTCCTAATTTTCGATGTCCTCCTCATCTCGGCTGCTTCTGTCCTCCTCTCCCAAATCTCATTCTCTCCAAATTTCCACCCTCCGTTTTTCTCTCCTCACCTTTGTCCTCTTTTCCTCCTTCCTCCTAATGCCCTCCTTTGAGCACTTTCCTTTTCTTCTCTTCCTCATCCTTCTTTCCTTCTCTTCATCCCTCTTTGTCTCCTCTGCAGGTTTGTTGACCAAGCAAGCGTCAGACAAAATTAAAATCCCTGTCTCTGCTCCTTTCCTTCAACCGGGTCACTCTTTTTTGGGCTCTGTATTTTTCCCCTGCACTTCTCTCCTCCTCTCTCCTCCCTCCCTGCCTCTCTCCATCCCTCTATCTCTCCCTTCGTAGTCTGGTTGGGTACAATGCTGGGAGCCAGCCAGCGCTGCAGACAGATGGTCCACTTATTAGATGTGCATCAGCCCTCCCTCCTCTTCCTGCAGCTCGCTTTTTAATCAAATTAAAGCCGAAAGAAGAGGGAAAAGAGAGAGAAAGTGAGGGGAGAGAGACAGAGAGAGACAGAGAGGGATAGACGGAGAGAGAGAAAGAGAGAGACAGAGAGTTTTGGGAGGTCTGCTAGCTTGTTTTGGAGTCTATTATTTGTTTGAATAGGATGAATGATGACGATGTTAATATGAAATTTGGACGACTGAGCGCTCTGTCTGATTTTGGTCTCTCTCTCTCTCTCTCTCTCTCTCTCTCTCTCTTTCTCTATTTTTGGCTGCATTTGACTGTGTCTCCTTTTCTTGCAATTGTGATTTGTGTTTTTTTTAAAGGGAAATTACACCAATTTAACCAGTAAAGATCGGCTTACTCGTCAGAGTTTACTCAACTTAGCCTGAAATAAAAGATCTAAGAGTTGGCATGATGTAAAGACCCCAACACTGATAAAGCCAAAGGTTTTTTGGAGGGAGACATGACTGTGATTGGAGGTGAAGGTTGGATTAGAGAAGACAGAGGGGTTATCATCCACTCGGTTTACATCTGATGCCAAGGGGTTGCAAGGTGTATTCTTAATGTATGATGACTGTATCTGCAGCTCTGTAACACAGTCAATAGGTAAACTGTATGTTTCTGTTTTTTGACGTGGTTTTCACTGAGGTCAGTATAAGAGTCACAGGAAGTGGGTGCATGAACAGTGATGTCATTTGACCATAAAACAGAGAGTTTGAGAGATAACGTTAGCATGATGGTTTACATCCGAGCCGCAACCTCTATTTTTCAAAAAGAAGACACTCACCATGTTTACATGCACACTAAATTTTAATAAAAGTCTGTATTCTGGTCATCACAATATTGGAGATAAGATGTTTGCATGTGCATCATAGTGTTGAGTTTATGCAGGGATATTCCTGTCGAACATGTTAATTGGCATGTTCCAAATATACGACGCAGCAAGCGCAGCTCCTCAAAGCTCCTCTAAGATATGTTTTGACATATGAAATAGACTGAAATTCATATCAGTACCTTTTAATGACAAGCAAAAGCAAACAGTAACATTAGCGACATGACAGATGATTTATTTTTGTAATTATAAAAACCTTTAACAGGTGCAAGGTGAGTGTCAGGTGCTTTTACAGTTTTCTTGTAAAAATATTAACATTAAACAATATATGTGATGATCAAAAGTCAGATGAGATTGTTGTTTGAAGACACCGTGGAGATGACAAAAAAATCAACGTTACACCAAGTTAGACACCCCCTCGAAAAATGAATGCTTGCTTCTCTAGTTATACCAACTTCAGCAACGACAAAGCTCAAGACAGAACATTTTTGATTATTACTTCATGGAAATGCAATCAGACTGAGACTCTAAGGCAGAAAAACTACCATGTTTGCAGCACAAAATGATTATTATAATTATCATTACTTAATAGAAATGATCTGCTGCACTCTGTGATCGACTCGTCAGGGCTCCCCAACAAACAAGCGGCTGCTGTCTAGCTCAGTGTTACGGTGTGTTTGACCATAACTTAAATTTACGCAGGAATATCCCTTTAATGACCAAAGCTTTGAACAGCATTGTGGACACTTATTGTATGTAGAACTGTTCTCTTTCAATTAGGATGATTATTTATTGGCACACTTTGTGTAGGTAAATGTTGTAATGTTGGTCTTGTAATAATCAAAGTTGCCTTAAGTTCTGCAGTGTTTTAAAAACATGGAAATTAAATACAAACAAATACAAGAATTTGCAGTTAAAAACAAGTAAAGTCATATCTCTTATCTACATTTAAAAAAATCAGTAGCATATTTATACTGAAGATCTGACTCTTGAGGTCGTTTGATTTTTATTAGACTGAAGTGTGTATTCAGTATTTGCATTGTATGTACATATGAAAGCAGACGTAGGCACCTGCATGATTTAGTTGACTGTCTGGATTTAAAATGTACAAACTCTGAACAAACTCTACTGTCACGGCCCGTAGACCTGACTTAATTGCTTAACCATGAACTGTTTATAAAAAGTGGACACTGTCACTTTGACTTCACCCATTTAGAGCCTCAAGTTTGACATGTTAGCTGTTGCCATCTCGGATTTATTTAAGAGAGTAGTTGTGGATGCATCATCGGGCCTCTGTCCTGGTTGGCAGGTTATCTTGAGTGACTTGTTAATCATATAGGCTCCACAGTAGTCCCTGTAATTCTGACTGCGATTGAACCATATTTGTTTAATGAATATCATGCTTTAAATCCACTAAAAGTTTAAAGAGGTCAAAATGGTTATGAATGAGAATGGTTATCATGTGGAAAACAGATCTTTATGATTAACTTCTGATTAAGTTGAAGTGTAGTCTCTCTGTGGACTGGTGTATACAATGGACAGCTTGGGTAATATCATAACTGTTAACATTATATCTCAGGCTAGAGGTAGATTGTAAACAAACCCTCTGTGAAAATATCATTTTTAAATCTCTGTAATGCTCAGTGTGGACACATCCAAAACTGTGAAAGCTTAATGAAACAAAGTGACTTAAAGTAAGTAGAAATATCAGAGTCCCTCTCTGCAGACCTGCCTGTATTTGAGATAAATCTGGGAACAGTCAGTGTCTCTGGGTCTGTACACAAACCTGCATGTCAATCAGACTTACAATGGAGGCTCTGCGGTATTAAAAAGTTTACCTTTAATTTTCCAGGCACCATCTGAGCGGGAACTTTATTATTTAGGAGATAAACAGTTGAACAGCTCCTCACACAAAATCATTGTTTAAGACATTTATATTTAGATGGAAGGACACATTAAACAAAGAGCCAGTTGTCTGTGACTTAAGTGATGTTTAGTGCCAGGGAAAAACAAAATCAAACAAACAAATCAATGAAATCAGAGTTATTTATGGCGCCTCCTGTTGGCCAACTGTGCTACGGGTAGTTTGTCTTTGGGGTTATGAGCAGGGGTGTGTGGTGGAGGAAGTTTTTTCTCTCCGAGGCCTCAGACTGACGAGGGCCCCATAAAGATCTGTGACCATTATCTGTCAGTGAAGTGGAAGAACCAAGAGGAAATCTTTTTATAGGGTCCAGAACTTTTATTGGTCATCTCGCATCATCAAGACAAACATTATAAAGCTTAATTTTTTCTCTGGGTGTCCGTGACAATAGCAGTGTCTCATTTGACATGCATGTTTGTGTTCTACATTAATGTGACACTTAGATACAGACTCTTGACAACACTGTGGTCAGTCAGGGGCTGTATTAAAGGGAGTTTACATATGTTACTCATAGAACAGCATCTTTCAGGTCATGCTACATTGCATGTCCACCACACGTCTTTAAATGTGTCTATTTCACATGAGCGTATCACATTTGCAATTTCCAAAAAGTCCGTATTTTGTCAGCTATAATCTGTAAACCCTGTTAAAAGATAGAGAATTACCCATGTGGGGTTGTTGCTTTGTGTGTTTTCGCTGATGTTCATTTGGTTGTCTCACCCCGGTAGGTGGTTAACAGCTAGTGAATTAACTTGGACTAATGAATGACGAATGAAAACCTCATCATCTGCCGTCCACAGACAGTGGATCAGCTGCCAGGTAGCTGGAGGCGTTAGTTTAAGGTCAGTGTATGTCAGAATGAGAATACTTTACTTACAGTATCCCCCGGGGGAATACAGTCATTACACTTGCTCTTGAAAATACAATTATTAATAGAAGAGAAGAACAGAAATAGGAGTGAAATTAGAATAAATAAGAAAGTAAAACAGTTTGTACAAAGTCAAGAATATTAGAAATAAGCTATAAACAAAAATGAAACCTGTTTGAGATAAGCTATATACAGAGAGTGAAGATTCATGTATGTTATACCAGTTTGCAGCGTTGAGTTGTTGGATATGGTACACAGTGTTGCTTAGTATAATAGAGTATTGCACAGGTGGAGCAGCCTGCAGCTTCTACATGAGAATAAGTCAGAGAGTGTGACACTCAGAGGGAGGAGTTATCAAGTTTGATGGTCAGAGTCAAGAATGACTTCCTGTGAGGCTCTGTGGTGCATTTTGGGGGAATGAGTCTGACACTGAATGTGCTCCTGTGTTTGACCAGGATGTTATGGAGTTGGTGGTCCGAGATTACATGTAACTTTGACAACATCCTCCTCTCTGTCACCAGCTTTACTCCCACAGTGTCACTGGCCTTGAGGAAGAGTTTGTTGAGTCTGTTGGCGTCTGCTACACTCAGTCTGCTGCCCCAGCACACAACAGCAAAACGGGTCACACTGGTCCACCACAGACTCATAGAACATCCTCAGCATGGTCCTGCAGATGTTAAAGGACCTCAGCCTCCTGAGGCCCGTCTTGTAGACAGTTTCAGTGTCTAGTTTGTTGTCCAAGAGCAATCCCAGGTACTCATGTTGTATAATAGTTTCTGTCTTGGCTCTTATATTTTAACACGAGAATTAACTTTGAATCGTAAAATATTAAAACTTCTCAGACTCGGATCAGAGATTTTTTAATCTGCGAAAACAAACCTCAGTGGCATTTCTCTGTTTTAGTGATTTGTGAAGTTAAACTGAAAGAAAGTGAGGAAGGAAGGATATGAGCAATGAGGACATGAGAAAGGAGGACAGAGAGGGGGAAGTACATATGATGAGAAAAACACGAGGAAGCAATCGGGGAGCCGGAAGGAAATAAGGAAACAAGACGAGAAGATAGGGAACAAGAAGGAAGTAAACAAAGAAATAAAAAAAGACAGAAGGGTTTATAGGGAGGTGAGGGAAAGGAAGCAGAAGTTCACAGGATGAGAAAATGGGGGGCAAAGGGAAGATGGTAAATAAGGAGAGAGGAAACAACAAGGTGAGGTAATGAGGAGAGATTCACAGGAGCAGAGGGATACACAGATTTTGAGGAAGAAGGATGGGGAGGGTAAAACAAGGAGTGAGAGGAGGTAAGCAAAGGAAACAAGAGCAGAAGGGTAGAATTAGTGAGCAAGAAAACTGGAGTAGAGGGAAAAGGATGAAGGAGACTAGAGGAGAAAACAAGGTGTTAGAGAAGGAAAGTAGGAGGTAGGGAAAAATTGAATTTCTTGAGGGCAATAAGGAGCCAACACAAGTTTAGGAAACAAAAATGAGGGATTAAAATAGGAGACAAGGCTATAAGGGACAAGATGGAAGGAGGAGACAAGAGGAGAATATAAAGGTGAAGGAGAGTTAAATAAATAGAATAGGAGGAATAGTAGGATTTTAGAAGGGCTGGAGGAAACAGAGAAGGAAGGATAAAGGAGAAGAAAAGGGAGAC